TCTTCCTCCAATGTAGAGAGCTAACTCTTCCCAAAGGCCAATAATGATAAGGCGTTACGGACGAGTAGCCTCCCTTGTCTTTGATCGCAGTATCACTGGAGGATCGCGATTTGAGATTTTGGCACGATTGCTACGGGCAGCAAAAATTCAAATCTGACTCAGAGGCCGAAAGAAATATACAGGAATATTGCGTCAGAATAATGAATGGCATTGAAGAATATTGCCGCATAAGCGACAGCTGGGAAATCGCAAAACATGCCTTTGGGCTATATGGAAGAAACAGCCCTAGGCGAATAAATATTGGCCCGAAGCTACTTGGGGCCTTTCGGCTTAAGCAACGCTGCATTCACGAACATACTGCATAGATAGATAGATAGATAGATAGATAGATAGATAGATAGATAGATAGAAACAGAATAAGAAAGAAAGAAAGAAACGATTAAATTATATCAATAACAAACATATGGGTATAAACACTTTTCTAAATTTATAGATATTGGTCTCATATGCCTGGGGTAGGCAGCAATAAATTTAAAAGGTAAAACAGTCAAATCTGACATATTTAGATTCATGTACATGCCGCTAGCCATTATAATACACGCCATTTTGTTTCTATCACGCCATTTTTGGTGCAAATCTTTCATTCTATTGTAAATAAGAATATATTTTAATCTTTCCATTTATAATCCAAATATATTCCTACTGTCTGTGAGTAATGTTTGATGCATGAATATATATATATATATATATATATATATATATATATATATGTGCGTGTATGTCTATGTTTATTTCAAATTCATGTGTGTGTGTATGTGTGTGCGCCCAGAAAAGAAAACACTTATACAACACAAGAAAAATTAAATAAAAACTTTTTAAAAAAGTACCTTTTCAGTCGTCTTTAATATAAAAGAAGGATTGCTGCCAAGCGAAACTTGTTCGATGAAGTTCAGTCGAGTAGATTTGTCTGTTTTTAATTGTATTTTTACAATTTTCGAATAAGATGATAATCTTTTTGATGCGGTCTTCCTTGTATTTAACTGTTACACATGATACCATCGTCACCGTGAAGCGTTTTAAACTGTAAGCTCTCTGTAAAATACCATGATTTTGCCTACCAGACGGACAGCACGTGGTTCTTGATAATGACTGAGATAGGCGAAAGTAGTTGAACAAAAACAACTGAATAAGCATAAATTTTGAAGAGTTTATCCCCAACTAGCAGTAGAGCCCGGTGTTGCCTGGGGATGTAACAGTAAGAGATAGATCAAGTATCGACCATCATAAAGACTGAAAAATAAAATTGACAAAGATTATTGTTTAAGGTTGACGGACACGCATGTCTTAATTAGTTTTTTTGGGTTTTTTTTACGAATTGGTCAAACCCAAACTCAAACAAAAACATTGTTTTCAATCGTTATGAGTCTACCGATTGAATAGAATTTTATTATAAACAATTGTCTTGTAAATGGAATTTTTAAAGCATTCTGAATGTAAAAATAAAGAAAAAAGTGTGCAAGACACTACCTGCCAAAAAAAAGTGAAGTTTTGTTGAAATCGATTGAAAAATGTAGGAAATCCGATCCCATATATAAACGAACACAGACACACACACAAACAACCTGGGTTTTATAATAAGTATAACTCGATATGAGTTGTCCCCTTTTCATTCTCGACTGCGATGCCTCTTAATCGTGTTTTCAAATTGATTTCGTGCAAAAACAATTGTGTTTTTCCAATTTTTGGTGCTTTTAGAACCACCGCAAGGTAATTTTATGTAGTCCTGTGAAGTTTTGTTGAAATCGGTTGAAAAGTGTAGGAAATCCGATCCAATATATAAACGAAACAGACACACACACACACACATACACACACACACACAACCTGGGTTTTATAATAAGTATGATTTCCATAAAAATATTATTTTTATTCAAAATTTAAAAAAAAGTTAAAAACATGAATTAAATTCGACAGAATGATTAAATACGGAACAAGTAAGTAAATCTTTACAAATTAAATATGTTTCACAGTTTATTTAGATTCGTCATAAACTTTTAGATGTGAAAGAAAGATTTCTGACATAGCTAAATAGTGAAACATGTTCAATTCATAATGATTTCATACTTGCTCCTTACTTAATCAAATGTGTGTGTCTGTGTGTACGTACGTACGTATTGGTGAGAGAGAGAGAGAGAGAGAAAAAGACTGAAATCTTAAGGGAGCCGTCAATGTTTGCGCTAGTGCGAAGTCACACGTCATCGTGACCGAGTGTTTGAGGGTGCTGACCTTGTTCAGAATGTTGATCCTGCTAGATAACGCGCTTCATCCCAGAAATTGTAACTAAGGTTATATCTTCTCTACAAGACAGTTTAAAGTTTTAGGATTTACTGTTGTAGACTGTTTCTGTTTTCCTTATTTTCCCAATATTTTTGTTGTGATTTGGGTTTTGTTTTTAATTTCTCATATATGTTTAGAAAGCATTGTGCTGTTCGCGTACTTATTATTTATAAAGAATGTTTTGTGTGCGCAGTTTCTTTGTTTCCAGGGCCCTTCAGTTATTCCTATGTATATTTTTCTTCGTTATCTGCTGATTTTAAAGTGACGTGGTATATTACATTGTTTTGCAAGCAATTGACGTTTAAGAGACATTCGTTCTTTACTCTGCAGTTACACGTAGGTTTGATTTTTGCGGGTGGTTTGTTGGTTGTTTTCCCGTTGCGCTTTTTTCATTGTTTATGTTATGTTCTAATAGGCAACTGTAGCTGATTTTTACTGTGTTTTGTTGAATATCTTGTAGAGAGTGCTTAATGTTGGGAGAGTGTTTGTGCATGCGTTCAAGGAAAATTTTACTACGTTTGTTTTTACGCTATTGTTGTACGGTTGGTTGAACCATATGATGGTTTCCTGTTGGCTTGTTTGTGCCGTGTAATGTGTATGTGAGTGTTGCCGAAAATTCACTCTCATTTAGGGATGTTTTATGATATTTCTTGGCTTTGTTGAAGATGTTTCACTGGATTAATTTTAAGTTAACTTGCGGTCAATAGATTGAGGGATCTCTTTGATTATTGATGGCAAGATGTGTTAAGTATATATATATATATATATATATATATATACATATATATGTGTGTGTGTGTGTGTGTGTGTGTGTGTAAAATTCAGATAAAACTAAAAATATATCTGTAAAAGAATGATATAAATAAAGTAAAATAAATGAAAACTTATCTTTTCTTCCTCTGATGGAATTTATCACAGCAAATGACATTAGAGGACGAAACGCGTTGATTTTATTTTTGCTGTTATTCATATATATATGTGTGTGTGTGTGTGTGTGTGTGTGTGTGTGTGTGTGTGTGTGTGCTCGAGAGGATGCATAAAGTTTCTTTGACCGTCCTATTTTTACAGAATCTTACCAAACATATATTTTTAATTTCGAATATTTTTCGAAAATCCTCCCCGTACTCCAAACACCTTGTGCATTCCTGTCACAAACTCTTGTTTATAGACAAACAACCAGTATTTTTTTAAATACAATACTTGCTTTTCTCACGTTTAAATGAAAGAAATAGACTATCTTTATAAACAGTTTCATAATAAATATATGGATGATCTCTTCGCTATGCCAGCTAGACAGTATGAATTTAAGCACAATATTAGACTGGCGTAGAGTTCTCACCAATTTACTGTTTAGTTAGCTAAATGTAGCCGTAACTTCTACGCTAACAATTTCTTTTCTCGCACTTCTTGCTTGTGGAACTCCCTTCCGGCTCCATGCTTCCCAACTAAATTTTATCCGCAAAAATATAAAAGCAATGTCAATCGCTATCTACTGCCCTCCTTATTTCTTTTTCTCCTCATTACCAATATTTCCGTTCCTAGTTCTTTCACACCCTGTAATCCCTTGCTTGGTGTGATACAGATTAAAAATTTATTCATCCTGTATGTTTATAACAACATCAATAATGCTGATTATGAAAATGATTATGATGATTGTAAGCACTTTCCGGTCCCATTGGGGAATGCTGAGAGCAAAACGGATCGAACGGGAGTTTGAATATAATAGTTAAGTTCACCACTTCTCGTGTTGTCATTGTCAGTGATTCAAGTTTCAGTGACCATTTTTATATAATTTAACTTTCCATCCAAAGCTCAGGGCAATATGGCGTCAGAAGTGGGATACATTATAATTTCTACAGGACCAATTGCCGAGGTAACTCCGTGAACTCTATAGATTGCCTAGGTGACTCTATGTGCCCTATAGATTTCCTAGGTAACTCCATGAACTTTATAGATTGCTTAGGTAAATCCGGGAACTCTATAAATTGCCTAGGTAACTCCGTGAACTCTATAGATTGCGTAGGTAAATCTGTGAACCCTATAGATTGCCTAGTTAACTCCGTGAACTCTATAGATTGCCTAGGTAAATCTGTGAACCCGATAGATTGCCTAGGTAACTCCGTGAACCTTATATATTGTCTAGGTAGACTGCACAAAATGTATATCTATTGTTTGATGAAACAAAACAGAAGTGAAGTCGTTCTGTATAGCATCTTATACTATACAGAACGACGCAAATGAAACATTTAACTATGAGAAGTCTATTATATAAACTTTGGTTAGATTTTGGGAATTGGAACAAGCCGGGAACTTTTCACCATCCTCCTTTCACACAGACACACAAACACGCACATATGTTTACATCTCACTGGATGTCACTTAATCTTGACTTCACACCTCTACCCTTAGAAAATCACCATATGTTTACATGAAATGATAGTAGTTAATATTGTTCAGTAAAATGGCCTTCTATTAATATTGCTATTTTAAAATTAAGCAGAAAGTGTAGCTCATCAAAGGTGGTATCCCTGTAATCGTTGACCATAAAGTTAAACCATAAGAATATTGTTGACGAAAATAATAAAAACGCAACGAGTTTATATACGCCTATTAAACTCATAACACCAGGCATATTTTAATTTGTTTTAAATTTTATTTTTCAGTTATTTATTGTGATTATACCGCTTCAGGAAGGTAAGTTTGTTTTTTTTCCTTTTATGAATGCACTAGAATATTTTGCAATACGCTGACACGTGTTGAAATCCACCCAATGTTTAGTATTGTTGAAGTTATCGCTAACACTTTTTATCGAGATTTCGCAAACCACTCGTGAAATTTGAATAAACTGATTTGTTTGCAAAAAATACTTTGAAAGAAACTCTAATTCACGGTTTAATAATTTCTTTAATTTAATTTAATTTCATAGGATTTCATGGTAAATAATATTTTTTAAGAAAATTTCTTTTTTAACTGCGAAGAATAAATTCTTAGAATTTTTTACATGCAATATACAACTGGTCGTGTGCAAATATTTCTTTCCGGAGCCAAATTCCAACTTTTTGAAGCATTTGAACTTGTGTTTTCTTTATAGTTCTTGCAAACGTACGGCAAACTGGAAACTGAATTCTTGTATATAAAAACTTAAAAAAAAAGATACGCGAAAAACAATATTGCATTTTTATTTACTAAGTATTTGTTATTTTAATCATTAACTTGTTTTTAAAATAGTGAGAGTATTTTGTATGTTGAATAATGAAACTTAATTTTTCAAAAAAACTGAATGAAAATTTATTGTACTAAGCTACGCACCCAAGTAAAACCAACTGTACTATTTGCAATTCTCCCTAAAATTTGTTTTCGATCGGTTAATGTATGGCTGTTTTAGAGGGTTTGAGGACGGACGGACAAACTAACAGAAGTCACAGAATTTTATATATAGATTAGATTTAGAAAATATTTACTGAATTAAAGAAAAAGTTTGAAACACCACACGCAATTCCAAACTACTTGTAAACCTTTTCAAATTTAATATTTTAAGTATTAGTGATGACTGCGACCGAGTTTCGAAAAATGGCGCCGCTTGACCAATCCTCAAATATGGGCAGCAAGAATTTGGCTTTTTTAGTCCTGCCAAGGTCTTACATTATCTTAATGTGCAGGTTGTGACACATGTTCGATTTTCCGTGGGGTGCCTTCAACGTACACACGGACCAAGGACAAAACTTGACCAGTTCCCCTCGAATAATCAGCGTACTTTCTTCATCAGAGTACTTCCGCTTCCGTCGTAATCCGGAAACACGGCAGAATAAGTGATACAGATACTACACATTAAGTGGGAGCTTATGCTCGATATTTACATACGTACGACGGAAGTAGGACGTATCACGTGGACGGTTTAACGTATGGTGTCAATCCTAGTACATATGAGCCAAATGCTAAAACAGTCCAGTCCTCACAAACACTGACATATTGACGCCGACATCCATCAACCCTCTAGAAGCTGTTGGCGTAAAATTATTTTTCAGTGGAAAAGAGGACAAACACTTAGTATTTGCTGACCCACCGGCATTAACTCGGTTTAAAGCGGAGGATCCCAAGTGCGTGCACATGGGCCAAGGCCAAATATTATTAGGTTGGTGCAAAAATAATAACGTAATAATGTCGTTTTGTGACGTATTTTTTAACGTCAAAAAACGACATTATTACGTCATTATTTTTGCACCAACCTAATACCCAGTCTCCGTCACCAGTATCGCGATGGCGTTGATATTCCACCGACCCTGATTCTTTGGTACAATGAGGGTGGTGCTGCCGCAGGGTGGAGTGCCCCGGGCCAATGCACCCCTCATGTATTTGTTGGGTTCTGTCCGAAGACAGAAACACAATTGATAGATAAAATGTAGTTTGTCCGCCTGGAGGCAGATACTACACTTTGATCACAACCTTCGGGCTATAAAAAGGCGCTCAGATACGAGGCGAAAGTGTTGATGCAGATGTGATGTTGTTTGAGCTTCATATGAAAGATTTCCAAACTTCTCTATTCCCTATCGATCTAATATGACATTATTTTTTTTCCGCAGGTCCATGAAGTACATAGAAAAATTTATTGACAATTATATAAGGCCTTATTACGGAAACACACACACCACAACAAGTATAGTGTCACGTCAAACGACAAAGTTTCGTGACGAAGCCAGGTAAGTCCCTTTTTTAAATCATTTTACTTCACGCAAAGCATTAAAGCCACTAAGACGCAAGGGGGTTACTGAGAGTGAAGCAAACTAAGAAAGCGTTACTGAGGAGAAAGCACAATAAAAGAACAGATTTCAAAGAGACAGAAGATGACGATTGACGTTGCATTTAAATTTTTGAAGATTGTAGTTAACAGGAAAGCAAGAACCCGGAAAAGAATTCCACAAGCGAGAAGTGAGAGAAAAAAACCATTAGAATAGAACTTACGAATAAATTTAGCAACATTAGTATTATATTGTAAATATTTATTAGGGTTTAATTTGTTAAAGTTGTTATTTCGCCCCCCCTCCTCCCACAGACAAATTGTACATATGGTGAGTAGTCAAGACTTCACAGTGACCTTGAGGTATTGTGGTGGTTGTAGTAAGAATGGTATAGTAAGAATGTGGTGTTTTGGTGCAAGGAATATTGTATAGTTTGTTTGGGTCAGTGATTGTGACTAGTTAAGTTTAAGATAAGACAGATTGATCACCAGCCTTCTCCATCATTTTTGGCCTTGGAACACATTTTCTGTTTCACAGAAATAAATATTATTATTATTATTATTATTATTACTAAAGTACTGGTTCATGGCCGTGTTGTGATTTGAAAGCTTCAAAGACTTTTTCTTTGACGTTTGTCATGACTGCGATATATTGAGGATATTTTCAGGGATTTTATTGATTCTTTGATATTTTCAGGGAATTTCTTGATTTACTGATATTTTCCTCATCTGGGAAGCTAAGAAGAAAAGTTTGCTAAAATTTCTACATTATTATTATTATTATTATTATTATTATTATTATTATTATTATTCCTAGATCCTGTTAGTGTCGTTATCCGTATCTGTCTTGGAACTTTCTCGGATTCCTAATTGATCTAATCTTGAGTGTTTCTTGCATTGTTCCAAGGACGCCAACTACTAGATGCACAAACTTCACTCAACACACTTTTCAGAACTACTGAGCAAGGTGCTGGTCGTTTCCTAATTTTTCGTTTTATTCATTATTTTCACCTACAACCGGAAAGGTAAAAATAATAAGGAAATACACACACCACAACGAGTATAGATAAACCGTAACTTCTACGCTAACAGTTTCTTTTCTCGCACTTCTTGCTTGTGGAACTCCCTTCCAAAAGACATTATTATGTGTCCATTGACACAGCTACATCTTCAAACTAAATGGTCCTGCTTTACATGTTTATGACGAGCCGATAAGAGTTTCTCACCTGGATGAAGTGGTCAGATTAGACCTCAGTGTTCAACGCTATTATTTTTCTTTTCTTTTTATCAGGTCGTCATGTATTGGAAAGGGTCTTTCAATATGGCAGGAAGTCTAGAAGTGAAGTTTTTCTTGTTGTTTCTGCTGTTGTTCCTATTGTAGGTGAAATGACAGCCTATCTGATCCCGTGGGTTGCTTGGGTTTCCTCTTTTCCTTGGATCCCTTCGACAACTGGGCCAACAACTTTAGTTCGCTTATACACTACAGTTCAAACGTTTGATGCCACTCCTAGAATTAGCAGTGGATGAACTTGACAGAAGAGTGAAAAAAAATGAAAAATAGCTCATAGATTCATTGATAAAAGAATGGAATCAATTATCAAATTTATAATTTGAGAAACTTTTGCAACGAATGCCAAAGATTTATGCTGCTGTCATCAAAGCAAAAGGAGGATATTTTGACGAGAGAAAAATTTTATCATAAATTTTTTTTTCTTTTTGTCATAATAAAATTTCTAATAAAATATCATATCTCCCTTTTTTAACCATTTATAATAGTTTTCTCTTCTTTAAAGTACAAAACAACTACTTTTGAGGCCAATTTAAAAAAAAAATTAGGTTTCCTCAAACTTTTGAACTGTAGCGTATATATCACATACATTTTAAAGATTCTGATGACGATTTTGGTGAGCTTTCCGGCTTAGGAAAATCTATCTAATCTTTCCTTGTTTAATTTTTATTATATATTTTTGTATCTTATGTCTTAGTATTACTTATTTTCATTTGTTTTTTTTTTTATTGTTTAATTCTAGCCGGAATTTAGATTTCGTTTTTCTCTTGCATCCTGTTGTCTATTGGCTCAGAAGAAAAACTGAATTGTCTATAATTTGTCTAAATATCTGTACATTATTCTTACTCATTGTTTCCACTTTATTTTTTCAGACAAATAATTAAAGATTGCGTGAATGCTTCCGATGAAGATGTTGTCATATTTACGGGTAGCGGATGCACAGCGGCTATCCACAAACTTATTGGAGGGCTGGATATACAAAAGGAAGAGAAGGAAAAAACGGTCAGTTATCTTCCCTTGATTATATTTTTTTTTTCTTTTCTAAATTTTTATCAACAATATTTACGCAGCTTATTATTATTATTATTATTATTATTATTATTATTATTATTATAAAAGAAATCTTTTTGGCCTGCACTTGTTTTATAATCACTTGCGGAGTCATAATCAATGACCGTAGGTAAGCGAAGGGTGTGGCTTTTTTTTTTTTGTTTCCACTTAACCAAAAGACAGCTATTAACAAAAAGAAAAAAATATGGACTTCGCAGGATATAGGCTATGCTTGTTGGAACTATTTTGAGGGTGGGGTATTTTCTGGAGACAGGGCAACATTGATTTTGATGATTTCTTCTTGAGTTCCTTTCTTTATCAAATCCCAAAGCTCTAACCACAACAGCAACAGTTTTAGATTTTAAGTGTCACATTTTTTTATTACTATCTCCAGGTCTTTATTTGCTTAGTTTTTCAAAAACCCTTTGCAGTAACGTTTTTTTTTTCTCACTTTGTACGTACATGTCAATCAGTTTTCAATATTTTTCTTTTCTGCTTTTGATAATACTAAACCTCAAGAAACTACAAGTTAACACATAATGGTTGCTTCTTCTTCTTCATCATCATTATTATTATTATTATTATTATCATCATCATTCGATTTCTGCTATGGACACACTACCTACCAAGTTGTGGAAAGACCTAAGGCAGGTCGTGGTGTGTTGTTATGGCCACATTTCATTTTTTTTTTTTTTTTTTTTTTTTTATCTCCGATGAAGTTGCTAGCGTTACATAGACAAAGTTCTCCTTAGTGTGTGTGCTGTACTTAATAAGACAATTTTCTGTATGTCTCTTAAGCTGGGGTTTCAGGGATTCTTTCAATGTGTTGTTTTGTTCCATTTTTATAATTCCAAGTGCACCTATTACCACTGGTATTATTCTTGTTTTCAATTTCCACATTTTTTCTATTTCAATTTCCAGGTCTTTGTATTTTGATAGTTTTTCAAATTCCTTTGGTTGCTATGTTACAATCCGCTGGACAAGTTTATCAATTAGTAGGCAAGTTTTTTTCTTTCTGGTTTTGACAATAATGTCCGGCCTATTTGCTTCAATTTTTCTGTCTGTGTGGATGGTATAATCCCATAGAATGGTGACATCTTCTATTTCTGTAACCGGCGCTGGCCGATGTTCATACCAGTGTTTGCTTACACATTTTCCAAAGTGTTTGCACATTGTCCAGTGTAAGTATTGCCCCACTCTATCGTGTCGATTTTTATATTCATTTGGGGCAAGTATAGAACATCCTGAGATTAGATGGTCTATTGTTTCTTGGTATTTGTCACAGAACCTGCATTTTGGATCCACATTATTATGTATGATATTTGCCTGAAAATTCCTGAAAATTTATTATTATTATTATTATTATTATTATTATTATTATTATCTAAAACGTTCTTTTTTGACTGTATTTGTTTTATAATCAGATGCTGGGCCATAATCAATGATTTAGGAAAAGTGAAAGATGTAATTTTTTGTTTTTTCCACTTAAACAAAAGACACCTATTAAAAAACTTAAACAAAGAGTCCATTTTAATTCACCAAAGCGAAACATGTAAATGTTAACATTTCCAATCAGGTAAAAGCCATGAAAGACATATTGAGCGTAGTATCGTGGCATTTTTTTTTATTATTATTATTATTATTATTATTATTATTATTATTAAATAGGTTGTCTTATTCGGTCCATATGAACATCATTCCAATAGTCTGCCTTGGCAAGAACTTGGAGTTGAGGTGAGATTTTTTTCTACAGTTTTTTTCGCGTTTAATCATTCTCAGCTTCTTTCTTTCTTTTATTTTTTCTTTTCTTTTTCTTTCTTTTTCTTTCCTTTCTTTTTTCTTTCTTTTTTATTCTTTCTTTTTTATTTCGTTTTCTTTCCCTTCTTTTTCTCTTTTTCTTTCCTTTCTTTTTCTTTCTTTTTTATTCTTTCTTTTTTTCTTTTTCTTTCCTTTCTTTTTTCTTTCTTTTTTCTTTTTCTTTGCTTTCTTTTTTATTCTTTCTTTTTTCTTTCCTTTCCTTTTCTTTCTTTTTTATCCTTTTTTCTTTCTTTTTCCTGCCTTTCTTTTTCTTTCTTTTTTATTCTTTCTTTTTTCTTTCTGTTTCTTTCCTTTCTTTTTCTTTCTTTTTTCTTTTCCTTTCCTTTCTTTTTCTTTCTTTTTTATTCTTTCTTTTTTCTTTGTTTTTCTTTCCTTTCTTTTTCTTTTTCTTTCTTTTTCTTTCTTTTTTATTCTTTCTTTTTTCGTTACTTTCTTTTTCTTTCTTTTTTATTCTTTCTTTTTTCTTTGTTTTTCTTTGCTTTCATTTTCTTTCTTTTTCTTTCTTTCTTTCTTTTTCTTTCCTTTCTTTTTCTTTCTTTTTTCTTTTTCTTTCCTTTCTTTTTCTTTCCTTTCTTTTTCTTTCTTTTTCTTTCCTTTCTTTTTCTTTCTTTTTCTTTCCTTTCTTTTTCTTTCTTTTTTCTTTTTCTTTTCTTTCTTTTTCTTTCTTTTTATCCATTCTTTTTTCTTTCTTTTTCTTCCTTTCTTTTTCTTTCCTTTCTTTTTCTTTCTTTTTTATTCTTTCGTTTTTATTTCTTTTTTCCTTTTTTATTCTTTCTTTTTCTTTCCTTTCTTTTTCTTTCTTTTCATTCTTTCCTTTTTAGTCTTTCTTTTTTATTTCGTTTTCTTTCCTTTCTTTTTCTTTCTTTTTTATTCTTTCTTTTTTCATTCTTTTCCTTTCTTTTTCTTTTGCTTTTCTTTTTTTCTTTCTTTTTCTTTCCTTTCTTTTTCTTTCTTTTTTATTCTTTTTCTTTCTTTTTCATACCTTTTTCTTTCCTTTCCTTTTCTTTCTTTTTATCCTTTTTTCTTTCTTTTTCTTTCCTTTCTTTTTCTTTCTTTTTTCTTTTTCTTTTCTTTTTTCTTTCTTTTTTCTTTTCTTTTTTCTTTTTTCTTTCCTTTTCTTCTTTCTTTTTATCCTTTCTTTTTTCTTTCTTTTTCTTTCCTTTCCTTTTCTTTCTTTTTTATCCTTTTTTCCTTTCTTTTTCTTTCTTTTTTCTTTTTCTTTCCTTTCTTTTTTCTTTCTTTTTATTCTTTCTTTTTTCTTTCTTTTTCTTCCCTTTCTTTTTTTCTTTTTTATTCTTTCTTTTTTATTTCGTTTTCTTTCCTTTCTTTTTCTTTCTATTTTATCCTTTCTCTTTTCTTTCTTTTTATTTCCTTTCCTTTTCTTTCTTTTTATCCTTGTTTTTTCTTTCTTTTTCTTTCCTTTCTCTTTCCTTCTTTTTTCTTTTTCTTTCCTTTCTTTTTTCTTTTTATTTTTTTTATTCTTTCTTTTTTATTTCATATTCTTTCCTTTCTTTTTTCATTCTTTTTCTTTCCTTTCTTTTTTCTTTCTTTTTTCTTTTTTTTTTCTTTTTACTTGTCAGTCTTTTTTTGTATTTTTCTTTTCGTATTTATTTCCTTTTTTTCTTTCTGCTAAACCTGTCTTTTCTTTATTCTTCATTTTTGAATCTATTGTTTTATATTCACTTCATCTTTGCCTTTTTCCTTCCTTCTTTTATCTTCTCTCTTTTTTGTCTCGTTTTTTTTTTCCCTCTTCTTATTTACTTTACTTCCTTTTCCTTCACCTGTTTTCTCTCTTTTTCTTTGTTTTGGTTCATTCCCTTTTCCTTTTCTTTTTCTTTGTCTTCTTTGTCTTCCTTCTCATTTTCTTTCCTTTTGGCCTCCTTTCCTTTTTGAGATTTTACTTTTGTTTCTTTTTTTCTACTTTTCTTTCTTTTCTCCCTTCTTTCTTTATCCATTTTCCTTTTCTTTCTTTCTTTCTTTCTTTCTTTCTTTCTTTCTTTCTTTCTCTTTTTCATGCGTCATTTTCTATTACTAATATTCATATTAATAAGTTTTTGTTTTTTTTTTCGGGGGAAAACATATAAAGATTTTATATATCATTTTCCCCATTAATAAGTTTAAATATCATAAATAAACGCCATAAACCCAACTGTACGTGTTGTTAGTCAGCGTGTCTTTGCCCTCTCGTTGTCTTTCCTTCTTCAGAGGACAACAGTATTCAAAGTATAACTATTTTCGTTGTAATTTTATTCTATCAACCCCTCTCTTTCTCCCTCTCTCTTTCTCTCCCTCTCTCTCTCTCACACACACTAGCATAGCGTTCCTTGTTATATTTTGTGTGTGTGTGTGTGTGTGTGTAAGTAAGGAACACTATCCTAAACACAAGAATCTCTATCTATTTCAGAGCCGACGAATTCTGGAAAAGTCAAATGGACAGATTGATGAAGACAATCTGGAACATGTTTTGAAAGTAAGTTGTTCAAATTCTTTTCTTTCCTATATGGCGGGAAAAATTATCTTTTCTTTCCTATATGGCGGGAAAAATTACCATGGCCGTATTTGATCTAATTAAAAATTGTATCTAATTGTAAAAAATTACAATGACCGTATTTTATTTTAGGTTGGAAATAAAAGAGGTGTGCAAAAATGTATAATGCTATGTCAGTATTGACTGATAAGAATTCCAGACTAAATCTTTCATACGTAAAACAAAGAAAGGAGTTCTAAACTGGTATCTCGTATCAATCAATATGGATAATCAGCGAATGGATAAAGAGAAAACTAGAGTCAGCAAAAATGTGGTTCTACAGAAGGATACTGAGAATTCCATGGACGGAGAGAGTACGCAGCAAGGAAGTCTTAAAGAAAATAGCAACAAAATGCTACTCAGAATCAGTAAAAGAGAGCTGAACTGTCTTGGACACATAATGAGAAAGGAGGGCTTGGAAAATCTTCGCCCTCGAGAGCAAGGGGTACTTCGACGTGATAGAATGGTTAGCAAGTTTGTCTTGCTAGATCAATTACAACTGAATAGTGAGTTCGATCCTCGTTGGGTGCCTTGTACTTTCGGTCTTGTGCCACATCTAAGCTAACCTTAGAAAATCACCACATCGAGAGCCAGAGAGATAGAGGAAGGCAGCGGACCACCTGCCTGACGAGCTTGTGTGAATGGATAACGATACAGGGGACATGAGGCTTGACAAATAAAGAAACGCTCTTAAGGACCACAAAGGATGGGAAACCGTGCTTGCCCACATCCTGAAGGGATACGACACTTAAAAGACGATAATTTGTTTATTCACTTTTTACCCCGTTAAATTAACACTAGCCGTGTCGAAGGTATGTGGTTTCAGGTCTTTCTTCAAACATTCGATCTCATTGTGAGGATACGAGTGATTCTGACTCTACTCTCGTAGGCTACGTGTTTATATAACTTTCTGATCTCTTGCGTGTATTTTATCATACGTTCAACATGGTTGGCTTCCTGATTTATGTTGCTGCCTCCATCGACATCTTTTGAGGCACGATTCTACACTTGGTGATTTTGAGGGTACCTTTGAGGTCAATCCCAAGGTTTCCTGCGTCTTTTGTTGTTCTGAAGAGACACCGATCGCAAAGCTTAATTTGGTATCTATTTGGGCGAACACAGTATATATTGGGGTCCCCACATTTCTTAGATCAAAGGTTCCCGATGGAAATAAAATTTGAATTCAACCCTTTGGCATTATTTTTACTTTCTTTTTTGTCTTACGAAACAAAAACTAGGATCTGGAGTTGAAATGAAAGCAATTATGGTAAATACCCTGATTCCATCAGAAAAATCCAAAACGTAGAATTAATAAATACTAAAGAATTCAAATACCTTGGATGTATCAGTTATAAAAAAAATTTAGGCTCGAAGATAGACCACGGCTGCAAAACCAAAACATTTATCTAAAAACTCGAGCCATGTCCTTAAATATCTAAACTGTCAACTCTATATAATCGTTTTCTCAGATCAATGATTAAAGATAGCTTCGATCGAATGAAGCCTGTAGGTTTTAGCGAGGACCCTCTTTCTCCAAATTTTGTAGACTGGCGCTACACAGTCACAAAAAAACTGTACCAAAATAACAGAAACCACATCATTTGAAGACTTTCAACAACAGTAACAACTAAAATTGATATCACATGAAAGTTGCAGAGAAAATAAATGGCATAATCCAGTGGCTGACATAATCCATGGCTGACATAATCCAGTGGCTGACATAATCCATGGCTGACATTCCACACTACTTCAAAGAAAAGGTTAAGAAGGAAACCCCATCAGTATTGAATGAGTTTCAATCCACAGTGGCACAGTGTAATTGCTATTAAAAATGCGGAAAACAGATACTACACTTTGATCCCAGCCCGATGGCCAGTGATGAGGAAAATCATAATTCGAAGAGCACTGGCTCCTCGTTCAATGAAAGCCGAATATTTCCTTATAAGGAAACGACTAATAGTATAATTGCTATTAAGGATGCAGAGAACAGATACTACACTTTGATCCTAGCACGGTGGCCAGTGCGTGAAGAAACTCACAGCACTGTGTCCTCGGGCAATGATTTCAGAATGTTTCCTTATAAGGAATCGATTACTATTATCGTTACAATTACTATTCTTCTTTTTCTTCTTTTCAGTCCTACAGTGAACGTGGATACAAGATAATCACAACGTTCTCGGCAGCCAGTAACGTCACAGGTATTATGACTGACACAGAAAGCGTCACAAAACTTGTGCACAAATACAAAGGATTCTCTATTTGGGACTACGCCTCAGCAGGTTTGTCTCTTATTTTCTCAGTCACTAATAGTTCAGTATTAATATGACTATCTTACTAGTTGAAAGTAACAGATGTCGCTAACCAACCGAATAGGCTGGTCGTGTCAAAGCCATGAGCGCGGAAAATAAAATTAACGAGACTGCGTTAAAAATCAAGCTGAAGCCGTTACGTTCACCTTGGGCTGATACCTTTGTGAAAGGCGTGAATAGATCTCTTCTCCACAACCCTATGAGCAAATACTAGGAGAGACTGGACAGTTTAGCCTTGGTAAGACAACCAGTCTAGGAGAAAGATAATTCTGAATTCAAGGCAGTGAAGAAAGCAACGGAAAACTACTCCATTCATTTTCACAAGATATTCATAGTAATTTACGGATATTAAAGAAAATGATGTTGTGGAGAGCCATGACCGCCTACACCTTGAATTGATATATTTTTTTAATTATTTCAACCCAAGCAAGGCAATAAAGCCACTAAGGCGCAAGGGGGGGGTTACTGAACAATAAAAGAATAAGATTATGTTTTCAAGGGAAAAAGGCCAAAATAATTATCACTGTCGCGTATGGCAATACAGACTGCGTAAAAGGTGGCTATGACTATGCGTCATTAAATTAAAAACAAAAACGAAATAGCTCTGTTGGGAGAGTGATACACTAAAAATGTAAAAGTTTTCCGGTTTCAACATTGAGTCCTGCTCTGTGGAACTGATACTACTCCTAACATTTACATAAGCATTTTATATGCTAAAGGTGCCACACCTAGGGAACGGGGGTATTATTTTGCGTTGGTTGCCCCGTTGAGGATTTCAATGTTTATGACGCATTTAAATATTTGGTTGGAACAGAAGTTTGTAGCGTTTTTAAATAGGTGACATTTGAACACGTGATTTCGTTTCAAACGGGACCGAAATTTATGAAATATACACATATTCTGAAAGCTGACATTTCAAATATAATTTGTGTGTGTTGGGAATTTTAAATGTTCTAGGTTAAAAGTGAAAAAGGAGGAAAATGAGAGGCTCTTTTCTTTCCAAAAAGGGGGGAAAAAATCAGTAAAAACAGCAAAAAAAGATGTGTGCCGTTTATGGAGATGGTGCCCTAGCTTCGTTTTGTCAACTCCAGCGACGACTCCGGCGCCAAGCTGTATTGGCCTCTAACTTTCCCTTGGACAACATCGGTTGCGTGGAGAAGGGAGACGTGCTGCATGGGCACATAAAAAAACTCTGCCCAGACTTGCGCCCTGGAGAAGACACTCCAGCGTCGGATCTTGGCGACGGCTAAACATGGGAAGCAAAAGTCTACCGGCTATGAGATAACGGAGGCTTGCCGCCGGCCAGAAGCGTTCTCGACGGGAAGAAAACATCACGACAACATCGGAGGAAAGCGCCTTCACGGGTATTCGCTGCAACCGAGACCGCCACTGCCGTGTGGGCCTGTACAACCATCAGCAGCTGAGATATAACTCTTTGCTCTCAGATCGATGGTCTCTTGAAACTGATGCCACATGGCTTAGCTTAGTGGCATGTTCTTAAGAAGTTGGATAGCTTCAGAAGGCGAAATGTTAATATTGGCTGTTCAAGCCACAGCGAGTTATGATGCAACAAAACATAAACACGTAATATTAACCCTGTTGTATTAACTCTACTCAGTTAAATTTTAATATAGGGGGTGCCAGTCCAAGTAACTAGATTGAAAGAGACAAAGGAGAAAAATGGTAAAGACACACGGGTTAGACTGGTGGCTCACTTCAGTAAGTTTTAGGCTGTAATTCTAATGTGAAGAAACGATTTACATTTAGAACATTAATATTTTTTTATTTCTCTCTTTAATTTCAGGGCCTTACCTAAAAATTGACATGAATCCATCGAAAGAAGCGTAAGTAATTTTTAAATTCTGTCTACAATTGGCTTTGCCAATAGAAAACAATCACTCACTACTTAGGATATTAAACATCATAGATAGATAGATAGATAGATAGATAGATAGATAATGAATAGACTGAGATAGATAGATAGATAGATAGATAATGAATAGACTGAGATAGATAGATAGATAGATAGATAGATAGATAGATAGATAGATAATGAATAGACTGAGATAGATAGATAGATAGATAATGAATAGACTGAGATAGATAGATAGATAGATAGATAGATAGATAGATAGATAGATAGATAGATAATGAATAGACTGAGATAGATAGATAGATAGATAATGAATAGACTGAGATAGATAGATAGATAGATAATGAATAGACTGAGATAGATAGATAGATAGATAGATAGATAGAACAAAACACAGCATTATCAAACTGTTTCCTCATTATCCCCAACATTCTGATAAAGCTAAAATAGCAAAACAAATCAAATTTATGAATCGATTCGTAATTAATCATTTTAGCAGTTTTAATTTATATCTTCAACTCTCTCTATATATATTTAATTTATATATATATATATATATATATATATATATATATATATATATATATATATATATATAAAGTGAACATAGAAGTCAACACTTAGAGGCTTGACGATTGCGTCTAGCATGAAAAACATCCTGTCGCCTCTGAGTGTTGACTTCAATGTTCACTTTTATATTTACACACGCTCTATCTTTGACATTGAGCACTTTATCCCATAAATATAGTACACCTTAAGACTATATTTCTTCATATATATATATATATATATATATATATATATATATATATATGTGTGTGTGTGTGTGTGTGTGTATGTATTCCTTTTCTTCAGTATATAGTAATGGTTGGTATTAAATATTTTTAAATGCACTTTTTAATACATATAAAAAATACTATATTTTTATTTAGTTAACCATTTACAGCCTGTTTCATTATTTATATTGTTTGGACAATCGTCCTCATCAATGTAAATAGTGTACATAATACCTCATCTCAGAAATATAGACAAGCCTGTTTCATGCATAGCAATTTTTCAAGATGGCTATCTGTTTACCTTGGATGCATTCTATTTGAAAAATGGGAACAAAAAAAAAGACGATAGCGTTTTTTTAAAAAAAAAAAAAAAAAAAAAGACGGGTGCGTCCAAGAGAAACAAACGCTACTTTTGAAAAACTGCTACGCATGAAACAAGCTTTCAATAAGTAACTATATAAATATATATTTTTGTGCATATAGATATATTTTTCCTTCTAACATACGAACATCCTTTCGCAAATATTGTTGTTGTTTGTGGATAATTCATATTGTGTGGTCCCAAGCTTTCAACTCGCGCGCGCGCGTGTGTGTGTGTGTGTGTGTGTGTGTGTGTGTGTGTGTGTGTGTTTGTATGTGAGCTACACTTATTATTTGTCTAATATTGGTGTTTCTACGTAAGAGCGCATATTTATTGCAGAAAGATCAGCTATGGCAGCAGTTAAAAAAACACCGTATTTTTTTAATAATTTCACCCCAAGTAAGGCCAGAAAGCCACTAAGGTGCAGGTGGGTTACAGAGTATGAAAGAAACAAAAGAAAAAAAAAACTTATTAAAGATCAAGAATGACACAAGAACTGAAATTCAGAAGACAGAAGATAACGATTGTCATTGCATTTAAATTTTTGAAGATGAAAGTTCACTGGAAAGCAAGGGACCAGAAGAGAGTTCCACAAGCGAGAAGTGCGATAGAAGAAACTGTTAGCATAGAACTTACGGTTACATCTAGCCATTTCAACTGTAAAATGATGAGACCATGCTGCCAATCTAGTTCTGTGCTTAAATTCATTAAGCCTAGTTACCAAAGAGGAAATTTGACCAGAACAATTACAATGAAATTATTTATAGGAAAGGTAAAGGGAAGCTACATTACAGAAAGTGGCTGAAGCAGAGATGCCAAGTCAAGATCAGTGTGATTGCAGATTCTTCTTTGGATTTTATCAAGGATCAATAGCAAGAGCACCGGACCATATGTGATAGCAATATTCAAAGCAGGAATGAATGGAAAACTTATAAATAGGTAAGGTACTATTGAATCCGATGTGAGCCCTATTTGAATGCCTAGAACATAATTACGAAAAGCCGAGGGCACCCCTAAAAGGGAGCCCTTGCTATATCGGCAAAATCTGTTTCTTCTTCAGTATCTATATTTCTGAGATGAGGGATTATGTACACTATTTACATTATTCAGACTATTGTCCTCATCTTTGTCGCCATATTTATTGCAACGTTTCGGCCGTTGTACGCTCAGGTCTTCTTCAGATGGTTGGAATTCGCTCGCTGGGGTAGATTGTTCTAGTTCCAGATATTGAACTCACAACTCTTTGGGTACTGTACAATGCTTTTATCCACTGTGCTATCATCATTTGTGTGTGAATTTCTAGGACTTATAAACTTAATGCCTTCAGCAACCATTTTACCAGTGCTCATATTGTAATGTTTTCTGTTATCATTGCATGTTTCTTTATCAATTATCATGTTGGTTCGTTATCAACATTTGAGAATTCGATATCCATGCAGATGTTGCTTTTGCAATCAAACTATGGAGTCTCTAGATAACTCTCTTTCGTCCTGATGCCATCATACCAAATTTCCCTTTTTTATTTCATATTCTATAAAAGAATTCTACATTAAGTACACTTTCTATTGCTGTTTATTTTTTATTTTTTTGTCAGTGCCAAAGATGCTGTGATGTTGAGTCCACACAAATTTCTCGGGGGCCCCGGAACACCAGGTATGGAGTTTACTATTTAAACCGATCTTTTCATATCGAATGTTATATATATATATATATATATATATATATATATATATATATATATATATATATATATATATAAAATAAATAGTAAATAAATATATATATATATATATATATATATATATATATACGAATTAAGAGTGGACACTGAGATCAAAATCGAATGGCAACAGTCTGTTTTAACAGTGTCCACTTATATATATATATATTACATATATATATTCTCATTTACATACAAGCCTGTTTTGCTTGTATCACAGCTCATCAGTCTAGCTAAGCATCCTATTGCTTCAGCAGAGACAGAAGAATTCTAACGTATTATATTAGGAATGTATACAAATGCCAGCAGCTAGAGTGCTCAATTCATTAATGAAAAGCGGTATGTTAATAGCGGCGATGGCTACTGCTTTGGAATTACCTTTTTCTCAATAGTGCTCAATCCAAATGACCAGAGCATAATATATATATATATATATATATATATATATATATATATATATATATAATATTATAAATATAAGTAATTATACTCATCTGGAAAAACCTTAGGTGTTTTGGCTTGTAAATAAACAAACCAACACCCAAGAAAAAATAAGGGATAAAAAAAAAAAAGAACTAAAAACATGTATTTGAGGCGAAAACAATCGTCCAAGCTCAGAGTTCAAAGAATAAAACCTCCAGTGTACCCTGACAATCCGCGTAGGTGAAACCTAGGTAGGTTTGCCTGGCTCTTTAGGGTCTTAGTTTTATATATATATATATATATATATATATATATATATATATATATGAAATGGACTAAGTCCGACAATTATTTCAGTATATATTATGTTTATAGATTATCTTTATAGATACAAATATTAAAGTAAATACTCTGTTTATAATAAACAGTATTAACAATTATAATTAACAGTATTCAGGTCAGTAAATGTTGTTAATACTGTTTATTATAGACAGAGCATTTACTTAAATATTTTATCTATAAAAATAACGTATAAGTAGAATATATATTAAGTATATGACGATCCGTTTAGGTGAAACCTAGGTAGGTTTGTTTGGCTCACTAGGTGTATATATATATATATATATATATATATATATATGAACGAAAAGACAAGAATAAAACTATACATAGTCTTAGCATATATATATATATATATATATATATATATATATAAAGAAAAAGGAAAACTTATCTTCGCTGACGTTTGACGGATTTTATCAAGGCAAATGTAATGATTTTGTTTTGCATCAAGTATTTATAAAAAAAGATAAAAAGGTTAATTGTTGAAAATTTTTAAATTTAAGAGACGCTCATAAATATTCATCAGGTTAACTGAATAGTCTAAGTAAATTATGGAAGACGGTAAGTGGTGTAATTTAATGTCTAAAAAGCGAAAGTTAGTAAATGATGAAGTTGAATTTTTTTTTTAATAACTTCATTTTCGTTTTATTTTAAACCATTCTTTTCTTTTTACTTTATTTGTAAAAGGACTTACTTGTAATTGAAAGATCTTACTTGTAATTGAAAGGTCTCGTATTTGATCTTAGGTCTGCTGATCGCCAAGAAAAAAATGTTCCGTAACGAGGTCCCTACCAATGTCGGAGGAGGAACTGTCTTATACGTAAGTATTTTCTTCACTAAACTTCATTCAAAATCAGAAACAGATGCTCAAATAAGAAGGACTAATACCTAGAATTAGTTTTGATAAAATTGGGAGGTGGAAAAAATCTAAATCGAAAAATAGAAAAGAATATCACACATGGAACAAAGTAAAACGACTTATCAGAGAAGAACACTGGAAAATGAGATGTCTGAAAGAGTGTGCACATATGCTAGTCTATGAGGATCCCCTTAGTAGGCCTAGCGTAGAAATAAGTGCAATATGGAAGCATTATCAGATTCGAACAATCATTGCAAAACAGGATGAAATTTTCTAAAACGTTTATTCCATAGTAACAATAAAAGAAAAGTTTGATTGTAGAATTATACGCCTTCCTTTAACTGTAGTATCCACATGTCTGCATTTAAAACAAGAAAAGTATTATTTACATGGCCATCTGTTGATAAGTGAATGAAAAGAAAGATAGCATTTGTTTATATAAGTGCCAGTTGGCTACTGCTACTGGCCCTGAAGTCATGACCCTATATCAAATAAAAAATCCAATAAAGAAACAAACAGACAACGGTTTTAGTAATAAAAAAGGAATAAAAACTTTATAAAGTCATCTGCACACTATCAGTTACTCAAGTTCAATGTGAGAGGACATTTTCAAAGCTAAAGATCATAAAGACATGGTTAATCTTTAGAACTCTGAATTATTAATATTACTTACCTTTCCACTGTATTCTTTTGAAAGGCCTCACAATTGCAGTAACCTTATTGTTAGTTTCACTCAAAGGTGTTTTCTGTTGCCATAGAAGGATTTGACAACACAATTATGAAATTCCAACAAAATTCATATTCAGAGATAAGAGACACATGTTATTATTACAAGCAGCGACAGAATGGTCAGTGTGTCAGATTGCTCGGTGGCGAGTGGACCAACTATATCAAATAAAAATGCAGTAAAAAAACAAACACAGAACAGACAACTGTTTTAGTAATAAAAAGGAATAAGAACTGTATAAAGTCATCTGCATATTATCAGTTCCACGAGTCAGAGAGGATATTTTGAAAGCTAAAGATCATAAAGACAAGGTTAAGAAATTCAGTATCTGAAGAGAATTTGGAATCATACATGTATTCTTTTTTTTTTTTTTTTTCGTGGTCCCCATTTTGATTTTAAAGAAACGTTCCGTCCCATTGACGCCAAGACACACCCGAAGTATTAAGTTTGCGACCCCCATGTTTTACCGTAGGGTATTGTACTCTTATGATTTATGGCCTCTCTTATTTTCCTTCACACTCACTGTACCTGATTCAAACTGAATAAATCAGTTTTAGTTTTATCACTCTATAAAACCAAATTTCGAAAACCCCTTATCTTTTTCTCCAGCTCGACACGTGCGAATTCCAATCATGCCTTGCGATGATGACTTTAAGGACTTTATAAACTCATTTGCATATTATCAGTTCCTCAAGTCGAATGTTAGAGGACATTTTGAAAGCTAAAGGTCATAAAGACTAGATTAAGAAATTCAGTATCTGAGAAGAATTTGGAAACTATACATGTTGCTATCCATTGAAAAGGAATTCTTAGATGAATTGGATTCAGAAGCAATTATTCACAGATACAAACAATCATCTAATGAACACAAACGATTGCTGTTAATATAATGAACTGCTTGCTATTGTGCTTCTGAACTATCTACTAATGTGTAAATTGTGCAGGAAACTATTTAAAAATATCAACCAATTACTTAAAATTAAAAATAAATAAAGAATTCAATTATAACATTCTGTATTTACATTTGGTAGCTACTACAGTGTAACCCTGATATAAGAGACTTCTTCTCCGGTCCCGACAACTGTCTTATATCCGGGTTAACCAGTAATATGTACAGTGCATGTAATCACTCATACACTTTTTTTTACAAAATTTATAATTGTATCCTTTTACCCCTGTGTATTTTTTGAAAATTTTATTTATTCGTTATGAAAATGAAATGATAGCGTTGTCGTTGTTGATGGGTCCCCTTCGTCTCTTGGCAACGAATACTTTTACACCCAGTCCGCCACTATAATTACCTAGCACAGGAGTTAACCATTAGCCAACAAGGCGTGTTTATTGCTACTGTACTGTAAGTGGAGCCACAGGTTGCGATGGAAAAAAATTCCTTTAAAATACGCAAAAAGGAAAATAACACTGACATCACGATTTCGCAGATATATTTCGCAAAATTATACAAAAATATCTTGAAATACTCGAGTAAATTTATTCAATATAATCGCTATTGGCTTCAACCATGGCCTCCGGACGACTTCGGAATCTCCTGCAACTCTCCTTGTTTAAAATGGTGAATGCTGCCATATTGCTTACCTTCAGTTCATCTTTGGTGTTACAAGGAGTTTTGTTGGTCTGTCGCTCAACTGCGCCCACACATAATAATCAAGGGGGTTGCAGCCTGGGGAGTTAGGTGGCCAGATGTAAGGGGTGATGTGGCCGCAGAAATTGTCTGACAGTCATGACTGGGTTTTCCTGTTTGTGTGGCATCATGCAGAGTCCTGTTGCCAGATACAGGGTCTTCCAGCAGCCACCCTCTTGACACAGGGCAACACTACCTTCTCAAGGCACTTGATGTAGGCCTCCGTGTTGAGTCTGAGGTCCTCACCAACAAATTTGGGAGATCTTTTCTTATCAGAATGATCAGAGTGAATTTTCCAAGTTGCCGTACCTTTGTAATCACCATTAGAATCATCCAACTTTTTTTCCGAATCCTCTGCACTGTCCTCTGATTGACACCCAAACACTCTGAAATGTTCATAGTGGAGCTTCCGGCGCAAATTCCAAGCAGTACCGCATACCATTTCCAAATTTCTGGCGGAGTGAATTGCGGCATGGTGCTCTTTTTCTCACAGATGATGCCCAGCTGATTCTATACCGTGCAGTCAACAAAATGAAAAATAAATAACGCGCATGCGCGAAATTAAAAATATAAAATGGCGACGATTTACCCATCGCATCCTGTATGTTTCTGCTCATTTTAGATTGGCGAAGTTGCTCAGACCTGGGGATTCCAACCCTGCAGCAGCACCCTCTTTATTGCTGTAAAAGAGGTGGGGTTGGTGTAATACAGAGGTCGCGGCGACTGGGCAAAACAACAATTTTTGTTCTTGGTCCATATACACACGTAAGCGTCAGGCGTTCTCCACGTTAAAACGACCTTATGACACATCTAGCCTTGGTGGGGAAGCTGGGTAAATATAACTGTCTATTGCTGCTACAAGACTGATGGCTGCTGCATCTGTTACTGCCTTATCTTTTCTACGGCCAACGGTCTGTGTCTGGAGGCTTAACTCACTGCAGTGCCTTGATAGCTCTGTGGTTAGATTAGTCTGAAAAAAGCTGGATTCGATTTATACACTGAACACATAATTTGATGCCCTGTATTATGACATCAACTTATATACGAACTTAATACGGTAATACAGCTTCTCACTTACACGATCTGTTTGGTTGGGTTTTTTTCAGGTGACTCGAGACAGCCATTTATACGTGAATGACATTGAAAGCCGAGAAGAAGGTGGCACGCCGGCTATCATAGAATCCATCAGGGCGGGTTTGGTCTTCAAATTGAAAGAGGTAAAAAAGTTACTCGTATTCTTTGCCGTTAATTTTTTTTTTTTTTTTTTTTTTTTTGTGTGTGCTTTGAAATTGTGATAGACTCTGTGATCAGACAGATCGATTTTTGATATTAATTACTTATTTATTGATTAGGAAATTGGAACAAATTTGATTGAAAGAAGAGATGAAGAACTGTGCAGGTGAGTAGATTTATTTTCGTCCATTTTTGTTTTTGTTTTTTGCATGATACTTGTTTTATTATTTTAAACTAATTTTTTAGTAGATACTTCTATTTGAGTAGATGCTACATCTATTTATTAAACAGTGTATTTATTTTTGCCTACCGAAAAATCTTATTTTTTTAAAAAAAATTGCGCTATTCTACGTTCCTCTGGGAAGATGGAGTGCCCTTTAGCCCGGTACACTTTACCACTTGTCCACGAAAAGCAGATGGTCAAGCAAAGCCAATTTCATGCTTCAAGCGAAATTTCACATGTCATAGAAGTTTTTCATATCTGCACATAGATTCATATCCAAACGGAAACAAAGAGAATTTTTAGAATGGATTTTTATTAATCCGACAGATTTTTATCACTTTAAACGCTATTTTTAGTGGATACTCGTGTTTGAGTAGACGCTCCGTTTATTTATTAAACAGTATATTTACTTATTTCCACCTCCCGGCCTGAATGTTATTATTGTGCTCTTCGCCGTTTGTTTCTATTTATTCCTAGATGTATCGACTTGTCTCACTTCATATCAACTTTTCTCTCTTCATAATTCCTTGTCTCTTGTCATACCTACTTGTCTCTCTTCTTGTCATATCTACTTGTCTCTCTTCATATCCACTTCTCTCTCTTCATGGCGCCTTGTCTCCCGTCATACCTACCTGTCTCTTTTCTTGTATCTCTTCATACCCACTTGTCTCTCTTCATAGCTCCTTCTCTCTCGTCATATCTACTTGTCTCTCTTCTTGTCTCTCTTCATATCCACATGTCTGTCTCCATAGCTCCTTGTCTCTCGTCATACCTACTTGTCTCTCTTCGTATCCACTTTTCTCTCTTCATAGCTCCTTCTCTCTCGTCATACCTACTTCTCTTTTTCTTCTTATCTCTCTTCATACCCGCTTCTCTCTCTTTATATCTACTTGAATCTTTTCATATCTACTTTTCTCTCGTCATAGATACTTGTCTCTCTTCATAGAGATACATCTTCCATGTAGCGAAACATAACGTCGCCATCACTAGTGATCACTTCAAACGCCTTCGTAATCAGCATTACACTCTTCCAACTCTTTCCGGATCCTCTACACTGTCCTGTGAGTGACACCCAACCACACTGATTTGTTCGTATTGGAGCTTCCAACACGAATGCCAAGCACTATAGCGTACCGTTTCCAAATTTCTGGCGTAGTGAATTGTGTCATGGTGCTCTTTTTTCACACAGACGGTGCCCAACTGACCCTACTTGACTGTGCAGTGGACAAATTCAAAAACAAACAACGCGAAGGTGCAAAATTAAAGTTATAAAAAGCGACGATTTACCCATCGCACCTTGTATACTTGTCGTTCTTCATAAATCCTCGCCTCTCTTCATATCCGCTTCTCTCTCTTCTTGTCTCTCTTCATATCCACTTTTCTCTTTTTATGTCTACTTGAATCTCTTCATATCCAATTCTCTCTTCATATTCATTTGTCTTTCTTCATAATTCCTTATATCTCTTCATATCTACTACTCTCTTCACATCCACTTCTCTTTTTATATTCACTTGTCTCTCTTCATAATTCCTTCATTCAAATTCCCATAAAAAATAAACATAAATATTTCAGTTTTGCTGTTTAAATGACATCACCTTGAGTGGCTTGAAATTGGTTCTATAAAACCTGAGATCGCTGGAATTAAACAGAAACGGTTGCTTTAATAAACTCAAAACATAATCCCTGAAAACGAATGTAGAAATGTTCGAAAGTACTCGGAATATAAAAAGCATATGAAATAAAAATAAATATAAACTTTGGCAAATTTAACGATGACATAAAACAACTATTTCGGGAATTTGAAAAATTGAATAAAAAATTTGATAAAACTTGTTGATATTATTTAATCAACCATATTTGAAAGAATTATTGCTGCCGAAATACACCTTATTAATTACAGGGTGCCCAGTAAAAAAAGGAAAAAAAAAGCTGCAAATTTTATTCTTCAAGAAAATACACTAACGCTAATTGATCCATCTCAGTGGCCCTCTAAAAGCCCAGATGTGAATGCTATGGATTATTGTATCTCGACTCGAGTATATTCCTAGAGTATATTCCTAAATCACCTACAAAACAGTCGTTGTAACATTGTCGATATTGATTCATTGAAGTGGAGCTTAACTGAAGCTTGGAATGAAATTCATCTTGACAATATTCGTAAAGCTACTGCCTTCTGGTTACAACGCTTACAATTTTGGGTTGAACATTCAGGCAAACATTTCAAACATTTACGATAATTGTTCAGTTTGTGCATGAATCATGATTTGCTAAATAAATTTCTTTCTGAATTTTACCGCTTTTTTACTGGGCACCCTGCACACACACACACACACACATATTTATATATACTACGAGGCAAAAAGTGGACGTACCCATGGAAAGTCGATTTTTGTATTTTTACCAAGACAACTGAGTAATAGAATTCGTTTATTAATACAGGTATATATATGTACATTATAGAAGTCAAAATATGATTTAGTATTTTGTTGGGTAACCTTCTGCTTTAATAACGGCCTTAATTCTTCATGGCTTGCTATAGACTAAATTCTTTAGTAAGTTAACGTTCTTCGCCAGATTTCTCAAGCATTCCTTTAAAAAAAGCTTATCTTCGGTGTTAACTTTCCTATTATGGGCACGCTTGTCCATTATCGCCCAAAGGTTTTCAATTTCAAGATCAGAATTCTGACTAGGCCACTGGAAGAGTTGCAATTTACCCTCGTCGAACTTTCTGTCTAGATAACGTTTATTCTTTAAGGCAGTATGCTTAGGATCGTTATCGTGTCGGAACGAAAAGAGTTGACCTTGGAAAAAGGTGTTTAAGCAGAAAGCTACATTTGATTAGCAGGAATGTTTTGGCATTGATGCTGGTTCATGATTTCTTTGGACCTTATATGGGTGCGTCCATTTATTTGCCTCGTACTGTACATATATATATATGTGTGTGTGTGTGTGTGTGTGTGTGATTTGTAGACAGTACTATTTCGCAGCTCCTCACTCCGACTAGACAACCGAATGCCGGATCGAAACCCAACAGATTCGGTCTCAGTCAGAGCTTCTACCTCCGAGCCATCTTCACACGGCAGAACGAGTCAGCCAAATATAACGTATTGTTTTTTTTACAAACGCTAAGCAGCCATAGTGCTCCATTCATTTTCACTGAAGAGCTTCGCATTCACGCAGGTGACCGTTGCTTTCAGAATTAGCTTGACAATCAACAGATATATATATATATATATATATATATATATATATATATATATGTGTGTGTGTGTGTGTGTGTGTGTGTGTGTGTGTGAAAATATACAGAAAATAGGAAAGAACTCGTTAGGTAAATAATCCAAAGTTCTTTAGTATTTTTGTTATCATTTTTAAAAACAGTTCTCGATACAAAAGTAGAGCATATATATATATATATATATATATATATATATATATATATATATATAACAGTTTCGCTATAGTTTTGTCAAGTTTTTGGCCCTTTTTTAAATGATTTTTTTTGGTTTCATCTTAAATCCACCCTTGTATTCTTTCTTTTTCCCGCTTTAATTAATCTTTTCTCATTACTCTTTTCTTCTCTGTTTACTTTCCTCTTGAAACTTTTTTTTTTTTTTGGTATAAATCTTACTTTTTCTCGATTTTGAATAAACGCTTCCAATTCTCTGTTTGCACAGACGAGCCTTTGAAACATTCCATAAACATCGCCAGCTATTCTTGCTGGGAAGCGACAAAAGCAAACGACTTCCGATCTTCTCTTTTATCATCCGGGTACCTGTCGAAGGAAAATTCTTACATCATAACTTCGTATCCGTTTTACTCAATGACCTCTTCGGCATCCAAGCACGTGGTGGATGCGCATGCGCAGGCCCTTACGCTCAGGTAAGAATACTATTTCAACACCGACTTCCTTTTAGTGATTATTTATTGCAATAAAATAAACGACCGTAGAGTACGCGGTCACTGTCAAAATCTTGCGGGGCCAGTACGCCAGCTTATTGCACAAGTTCACGCTCATTGGATACACATTGCGGCAAAAATTGTCAATGGTTGGAAACACAATTTCTCAAGCTATATTGGTATAACTCTTCTTCCTATTCTCCAATTCATATGTATCACAGTTGACCGATCATATGACACTTAACGGCTAATCAGCAGAACACAATTTTTTTTTTACAGTGGGTCAGTGTTTTCGTAGATAGAAGCTGTTTCCCAGATTTGGAAGAAATATTCCTTTGCGACATTATATTCTGGACTTGTAAGTAAAGACAAATATTTGGAGCAACTACTAGCTTACCTTGTTGGGATCGGGGAGAAGGAATGAAACACATTTTTACACTTTGTTGACGTATTTTCTTTTTAGAAAATAAAAAAAAAAACTTCTCTATAGCCGATTTTATCTTTTCATTACGAATGTTTGGAGAAATGATCTTTTTTGTTGTCCAGATACTACCAAGGCCTCCCATCATTTATTTGGTGATCCGAAAATTATTTTAATACACAGTGAACTATAGAGAACGTTATTAATTAAAAAAAAAACGGTTCTCCTTCAATTTCCGGAGTGTCAAACCTGATGTGGGACTGCTTGAGAACACCCGCTACTGCAAGCGACATCCTACAATCGAAAATGTTTTGCCTTATATAACCCACGAAGGTTGATAAGCCGTAAAAAACAAATTAAATAATCAATATTAATAAAAATATTGAAACTTTTTTTAAAATGAATTCAACCCAAGCAAGGTGATAATGCTACTAAGGTGCAAGGGTCACGGAGTGAAGCAGGATGAAAAATATTTTAGCAGGAACTTGAAACCCAACCCTAAACAATAAACAAGGAATACATCTCTACTCCTGTTCAATAAACCATGGTGGAGTATGAACCGGGCAATAGGTGAATCTGTCTACTTCTATTGAGGAGAAAATATATACAGAAATAGTAAATAAAATAACAGAAACTATTTTTTTAATAATGTTTACTCAGTACAAGGCCCAAGAGACACACAAGATAGAGGGTCACTGTCTGGTGTTGTCTTAGCGTAACAAAGGGAAAGAGAAAGATAGACATCTAATTCTGGACTTGATGAGATTAAATTAGCGAATAAATTGTCAGAGTTCAATCGGAGACGTTAGGAGTATAGAGTTGAGGTAGACTTTAGAAGGGACCGGAAAACCAAGGGATTAACCTCTACTCCTTTTTAAAAGCTACGGGAGGAGTGTGAACCTGACGAGAGGTGAATCTATATACTCCCATTGAGAAAATGAAAAGTAATCCAATAGTAAATAAAAGTTCAGAGGTTATGTGGAAACATGAGAAACTGAAGTAAACTTCAGAAGGAAACAGGAAACAAGGAATAAACTGTTTTCTGTTAAAAAAATCCAGGCGGAGTGTGAACCGGGCGATAAGCGAATCTATCTACTCTTAAATTCGAACCGTCACAATGCGCTACGGCCAGTGGATGTTTATATGTGCCGGTTTTCCAATGATATCCGTCCTGTGTATGACAATAAACTACATCCACGTACTGGGTAAGACGATAAACTACGTCCAGCAGCAAGGCCTCTGATCAGGAGGTTTTGAGGAGCATGGAACCACCTCTTAATTGCTGGTGTTCACAGGTTCACCTTGACCCGGGGTGGTAGCACCTGTTAGGGTCCTAGTTATGGGCAAATAGTTAACTATTAGCAGCAATACATTTTTGAAAAAAATATATTACCAGCAATACTTTTTTGCATAAATTATTACCAGCGATACATTTTTGAAGGAAAAATATTGATAGAAACAGATTTTTGACAAAACAAAATATTACCAGCAATAAAAAATTTTGTCAGCATTAAATAACCCCTTGAGGTTGATATGCCGTAAAAATATCAAAACAAAATAAACTTTCCAACGATACTAATTAGGCTGAGCTTTCAGCGAGGATCGAACCCACCAGTGTTAGTTTTAGATGAGAACATGAATCACTACATCAAGCTGATTGCCCTTTTCGTCTGTTGAGAATTACTTTTATCTGGTAAATGTCTTGACGTGTGTGTGTGTGGCTTCTACATAACTGCTTAGTATTTGCTTTAACAATGGAGATAAGGTTTTAATTTCTTTTTCTTTTTTTTCAGGATCTTCTTGGAATCTCTGAAAATTTGGCCAGTTGCTTCATCACTTTCTTAAACAATAAAAACGAGTGAGTAGTTTCCATGTTCATTTATATGCGCAGGTAGTGTCATGGTTAATGGTTTGGGAAAGGAAGTCGGCGTATTAATTGCACTCACTTTTGCACAAATCTCCTTGAGAAAGGAATGAATCCGTCTCTTCTTCCCCAAACTATGGATTAAATAACTGGGTTTAGGGACTTGATAAAAACACCAGTCTTGCAGCGAGGACAGTGCAGAGGATTCGGAAAGAGTTGGATGAGTCTAATGGTGATTACGAAGGTACAGTAGCTCGGGAAACTCACTCTGATAAGAAAAGAAATCCAGAATTTTTCAACTCGGTAAAATGCGCATTGACTGAAATTCTTACATTACAGGCAAAAAAAGTTTGGGGCCTCCTGCATTTCTTTTTAAAACACTTTTGTTGTAGCATACCTACGGACGATAATGGGTATGTCCCCATTCACATAAATACAGTAGTAAATACTGTATGTTGGTCTGCAGTTGGAAATTCGTCTCCAGCTGTGCTGGTCAAATTCTCTCTCTCCAGGCAGAGAGGATCCCCAGACGAGGCTATGTCGAAGGGCAGAGTCTCGTCTCGGGAATGAGCTACCCGACCCCGTTTTATATAAGGTCCTTGGGGAATTTTTGACCGAGCTTACAGGCTCGGATGCACCACATTAAATTCAGCCTTGTGCCACATCTGACCGCGTGGGGCGGTTGGTAGATATCCTGCATTTGGAGATTTATTGTGGAATTCACTTTACTTACTTCTAGCAATTGATTACTACATCTACGCGCCACTGGCGAATCTTATATACGTTGTCCTTGTCCTTAGTATTATCGTTCATTATCAACCTTCGTGTGATTATTCTATTCAGTAACCTTCCCTACGTTACAGCAACCTTTAAATGAGATATTTTGTATTATTTTTTAAGTAAATGATAAAATTTCAGTAACTACTGTGTATTTGCTTTTATTTTGCCAAAAAATAAACACTTAGCTATAAAACAAAAAAAAAATTATTATACAACAGCATAATATTTCATTTTGGCCAATAAAACCACCACCTGCCTTAATTACTGTTACTTAAGTATACGCTCTGCATGCATAAGTTTTCTTAAGTATGTGATATATCTTAAAGAAATGTTTCTATATGCACAACTTTACTTAATTGAGAGGTGTACCTGTCCAAACATTACAATCTCATCGAGATTTCATTTGCTGGAAAATTATGCAATCCAACGCCCCCAAATAATTCATTGCATTTCTGAATGATGTACAAACTTGAAAGACAAACAATAATAGTATTAATTAAAATAATAATTTCCTTTAGGTTTTTATCATATGGTGGAAAGATTATATTGAATCAAAAGCTAAGTCTGCAACAAAGAAAGTTTGTTCACTGTGTCGTGTGAGACAATTTTTCTTGCTAGAATCTATTTTATGTATTTATAAGTCTCCTATTCATCCATGCCTTGAATATTGCTGTCACATCTGGTCTGGTGCGCCTGCTATGTATTTAGAGATTCTAAATAAAAGAATCAAGAAGAATCAAAGAAGAATCAGCAATGTTATTGGTCCTGACCTGACATCTCGGCTTCACTCAGTTTCCCATCGCCCTGTTATTTTTCTATAAATTTTTTATTGTAATTGTTCTGATAAAACGTTCCTCTATGGTACCTAGACTTTATGAATTTAAGCGCTGTACTAGATTGGCAGTAAGGTCTCATCATTTTACTGTTGAAATGGCAAGATGTAAGTTCTATGTTAAGAGTTTCTTCTCTCGAACTTTCGGAACTCTCTTCCGGTTTCTTGTTTCCCTGTCAATTTTCATCTTCAAAAATTTAAGTGTAATGTCAATTCCGTCTTCTTAATTCTTGTTCTTTTATTGTCTTCTCTCATTAATAGTACATGTTTCTCATATTCTATAACACTCAGTAACCACTGTAAAGTAAATAACCTATAGAAAGGGCACAAGGAAGCTATGTTACTGCATTGGGAAAAGTGACTGAAGCCGAGATGCCAGGTTAGAACCAATAACATTGTAGAAGGTGTTACTGAATAGAAGATTTTAATCCTAGATTATGTTCCGAAATCTTGTTTCTATCGAAGCAAGAACAAATAATTGAACTCTTTACTATTCCTATCGAGTCAATACAAATTATAAAGTTTAAAAAAAAAAAGTGAAAAATATAATCTTTATCTGAGTTAACGTGAACTTTACCAATATTTTTCTTTTTCTTTTTTTTCAGATGTCAGTCATGGAGAGCAATGGAAGTGATGAAGTAAGACTTTTAGTCTTTTAGTTTTTTTCTATTCAATTTGTCTTCTCTACAGATTTATTCTGAGAACTTTAACACACACTCTCACGCAATAAATATCTTAGAACTTGTACTTGACCCATATTTGATACCAATTCATATGGCCTTGTTGGTAGTTTGCAAATATCTCTTACTAACTTCAAATAGATTTTTGTTATTAGCCTGAAGTTCATAAGGTATTAACAAAAAATGTATTTGAAATTAATAAGAGATATTTGCCGACAGAATTAGAGGATAAAGAAACCTTTATAAATCTAATGTTTCGCTTTTATTAAAACTTCAGAGAATGAGATAAGGAAAACCAATTCTGGTATTTCTATTTAGGTCTTCTTTCATTTTTATTGGTTAAGCATATATATATATATATATATATATATAATCTGGATCATGCTTGGATGCAATCTTCAGACCATAATGATTGCCTTCAATCATTAAACAGTCGGCGCTCGGTGTTGACCTCAATGTGTTCTTACTTATATATATAATGTAAATCAATTTGTAGAAGTTTATCACTTAGCTGAGTCGTGTTTGTTCAGTCATGCCTACTTGGTAGTCATGCCTACTAGGTAGTTTCGTGGGCACATCAAGATAACATGTTCACTCTTCAGGGCTTGTTGTCTTCTCTGATTCTATTTCACAATTTTGCCCTATTTATGTGCGGTTTGGTGTAATTTGATATGTTTTTATAGCTTTGTGGTTTTTAATGACTGTTGTTGTTATTTCTTGAGTGGAATGGGGTTTCTTGGTGTTTGTTTGCTTTGTATTGAGGTAACCTCTATATATATATATATATATATATATATATATAATCTTAACCTCTTCAAGTATAGAGTCAACAGTTAGCTTCCTCTCCTATCTATATAAACTCCCCCTTAACGTAACCTCAGTCTCGAGTGGCTCTCGGGCCTTGTACAGAGTGAATTTACTGCAATATATATATATATATATATATATATATATATATATATATATATATAAAGAAAAATATACGGAAAAATAAACAAAAATCCTAATATGCAATTGGTGCATTGCATTAAAACAGCATATGTTTTAATGTTAATATAATATCAACGTTAGACGTTTTGGTTTAGTAGACCTTCTTCAGGACATAGTTATTAAAACATAATTAACATTAGACTATATTTAATTCAACATGAAAAGACGATGGACATAAGAGTAAGACTAATCAAAACAGAATAAATAAAATTTTTAAGATCAGTGTTCCGTTTCGCAATACGATCACGTCGGCGTCACGTGGGCGATGTTGTGAAAACGTATTCCTAAAATAGAGTATATTTTAAATGAAAAAGAATTTTGTTTTAATCTAAAACTTATATATACGTTTGTCGGGCATTAATCTTGCTAGAAAAGGGGAAATATTAAAGATGCCGGGTCTAGTGTTCACCGTGCGTGAGATAGATATTATGCCTGCCTCATAAATCCGTCTAAGATTTTTATTATGAATATATTTTAAAATCTTCACAGAATCAAAATCGAAATTATGATCAGATTTAGTTGTGTGTAAATTTCAGTTATTCTGTTTTAGTCTTACTCTCATGTCCATCGTCTTTCATGTTGAATTAAATATAGTCTAATGTTAGTTATGTTTTAATAACTATGTCCTAAAGAAGGTCTACTAGACCGAAACGTCTGACGTTGACATTATATTAACATTAAAACTGGATAATTGCATATTAGGATTTTTGTTTGTTTTTTCCGTATATTTTTCTTCATACTGTCGGATCTATATCCATATATTTGCTTATATATATATATATATATATATATATATACCTTTAACTCACCCTCCATATTAGTGATTGAATTTTTCTTAAAACTGATAAGACGTATTTCCATGCTTTTGTTTTGATCTATCTTCCGATTTGTCGCTCCACGTTTCTCATATTTGACGTCTTCACGTTTCTTTTGATTTTCAGACCTGGCTTTACGCGTATCAATTTGCCATTCTTCTATGACGATCTCACAATTGATTACATCCTCAAAGCCCTTGTGATGGTAGCCGAACACGGATGGAAGCTACTTCCCTTGGTAAGTACTCTCTCACTACAGTAAAGAGACGACAACACCATTTATTTTGTTTCATTTTTATCATCATCAATTAATTTTAGCTAAGCCACTTCGTACTTAGAAAATTCTTAAGCTTGAGCCTCATTTCATACATATTTCATGCCTAATCGTAATCATACTTATTATAAAACCCAGGTTGTGTGTGTGTGTCTGTTCGTTTATATATTGGATCAGATTTCCTACATTTTTCAACCGATTTCAACAAAACTTCAAAGGACTACGTAAAATTACCTGACATCACCAAAAATTGGAAAAAACACAATTGTTTTTGCTCGAAATCAATTTGAAAACAGGATTAAGAGGGATCGCTGTCGCCAGAATGAAAGGGGGACAACTCATATCGAGTTATACTTATAAAACCCAGGTTGTGTGTGTGTGTGTGTGTGTGTGTGTGTGTGTGTGTGTGTGTGTGTGTGTGTGTGTGTTCGTTTATATATGGGATCGTATTTCTTACATTTTTCAACCGATTTCAACAAAGCTTCACTTTTTTTTGGCAGGTAGTGTTTCTTATCTTGACACATTTTTTCTTTATTTTTACATTCAGAATGCTTTAAAAATTCCATTTACAAGACAATTGTTTATAATAAAATTCTATTCAATCGATAGACTCATAACGATTGAAAACAATGTTTTTGTTTGAGTTTGGGTTTGACCAATTCGTAAAAAAACCCAAAAAAACAACAAAAAAAAAACTAATTAAGACATGCGTGTCCGACAACCTTAAACAATAATCTTTGTCAATTTTATTTTTCAGTCTTTATGATGGTCGATACTTGATCTATCTCTTACTGTTACATCCCCGGGCAACTGCTAGTAAAATATATATTGGTTGTCTTTGGGCAGCAATTTTTTTCTTTATACAAATTTAGTTAATGATAATTATATGTTTCTTTATAAAGAAACTCTTGGTATTCATTCACCAAACACTTTACTGTCGGTTGAAATTTATTAAATTTTTTTGTTAAAACAGTTTTTTTTCAGGAAAATAGGCATCCACTTATTCTTATCGTTCTTTCTCGTCTTCATGGGAATTTCCTTCCTAATCTTCTGTGTGAAGTGGTATGGAAATTCAACATCTTTATTATGTAATTATTTTTCCTTCTAATTATATTTACTATCCATTTTAGATACCAAGATTTTTTTTTTAATTTTAAAAAGAAAAGACTTCCTTTGCATATCTATTCGTTTATATTTGTTAAGCTTTTTAAAATGGATCGAAATCAGAAAGGTTCACAATGCCGTACCGTGTCCCAGTTTTGTGTTTGCTCGAACCGTTGTACTAAGCCCGAGTCCATTATTTTCCGACGCAGCTCGAAGAAGTGGGGGTAGTTCCTTTCTTTGAGATGACATGTGAGACCTTTGCTCAAAGAAGGCAGCAGTTGGTTAGAATTCAGAGTTTCTTTCTCTTAGATTGGTTGCCACCCAGTCTGTCCTGCTCTTTTACCCATAGCTGGAGGGATAAGAAATTGAATGTAATGACATAAAAATTCAAATTTTGCCTATTTTGCCTATTAAAACACTTTGCAGATATTTAAATTCTGAAGTTGTTTGATTTTGTCATCTCAAATTCCTATCTCGCATCTTTTACTTTTTTCTCTTGCTAACGACCAGAAATTCTGTCTTCTTACAATTCATGGTTCTTCCTTTTCTATAGCACTGTCTTTGATTCGCTTCTTATTTACTTCTTTTTCGTTTTATTTAGCGCCTTTTTGCGCCGTTGGGGGGGGGGGTCAACATCCCCCCCCCCATTTCAGAATTAGCGACATTTATAGAGGTGGATTTGTTTTTGAAGTTATCTCCATCTCGCCTTTTTCTGAAGAGGCAGGACCTACAAAGCAGCAGGTCGGTTTGGATACAGAGTTTTAGACTGGTTGCCACCCAGTCTGTCCTGCTATTTTAGAGAAGAAATTTAATTATAACGACACGAAAATTCAAATTTTCCCATCTCTTATTAAAAACACTTCGCAGATATTTAAATTCTGAAGTTGTTTGATTTTCTTATCTCAAATTCGCATCGCTGGAAAGAAAAAGAGATTGAATGAAATGACTCGACTGAAATTCGAACTCGTTTCTCTGACTCTTCAAACCATGCCACGGCTATACGTATTAATCATTTCTATTAAATTATTCTTGTGTAACTGCTATTAAAATCTCCCCGTATCTTGAATGTAGGAAGATGTTCGATCATTTTTCTTCTCGTCAGCTGTACACATGCTAACAGGTCACTCTCTCTTCCTTAATTTTACAGTATGTTTGCGATCCGATGACCGGTTCGTACACCCTCAAGAAATTCGAGAAACATTACGGCAGTACTTTCTTCAGTTTACACGACCTCAAATTCAAAAACGGCAAATTCGTAAACACCAACCCACGACAGGCCCACCCGAAATTGGATTGCTCCTTGTTGGTTAGTTAACACCTTTTTTTTTTTACTACTTTCTATGTTCTTGTATTTTTTTAAGAAATATTCTCAAGACGCAAGAACCACTCAAAGTAGAGGCTTATTGAGTGAGTTCGTATGAACCCAGCTCTTGCCCTAGCTATGGATTAATTAGTTGGACATATCAGCATATAATTATTATATCAAAAAAATTACAAACTAAAAATATTTTCTGGCTTTAAATAAACTTGAAACGGTTGATAAGCCGTAAACAAAATAAATCAGTATTATATGTCCACACTTTTTCTTGCGTTGGAGCCATTCCTTCACAAGTTAAAGGCGAAACCAGTTCTACGCGGAATTCGTTACCTGGTGCTACCACCTCGGCCAGGTATTCTTGACTATGCTGAAGACGTTTCGGTTCTTGTGTCGAGCAGAGCCGAGATTGACGAAGTTGGCAAGGAGATCAGAGGGTACGAGACGGTGACAGCGGCCATGATCAACCGCGATTATTATTATTTTTATTGCATTTTGAAGATATCGCTTTTTTTGAAGTTATCGCTTTTTATTACTTTTTTTTTAGCTATATATATATATATATATATATATATATATATATATGGTATAAAATGACAATTGGAAAAAAATCTTAGATTTTGCCGACGCGTTTCGTCTTCCGACATTTTCAAGGCAAAAATGAAATGTTTTTGTTGTTATAGTTACATTAAATTGATCTGGGAATTTAACTATATATATATATATATATATATATATATATATATATATATTTGTTTTTATCCATAGGTGATATATATTTACGTATTTATTTATTTTCCAATGCTACATTTCTCTTAGGAATAATTTTAAGCTATTAGCTTGGAATTGAACTAAAATAAAAGCTTCGAGAAAGATTTTTCATTTATAAAATGCATTTTAAAGGCATCACTTAAGTTATTGTTTTTTTGGTGGATGGGGGGGTTCTGGAGGTACCTATATATTTTTGTGAGGTACCGAAGCATTTTATTTTTGAAACTCAGTATCGATGTTTTGTTTTTTTGTTGTTTAAAATCATTATTCATTTTCAACCATTTCTTTCCTCATCTTTTCAGGACATTCTCCATGAGGCCTACCATTTTGTTCAAGATGCCGAAAGAGAATTAAAGGTAAACATTAGGAAATTATCTATCTTTATAATCCGTGAAAATACTCAAGCAGCCAATATATACGTTCGTGCTTGTAGGGAGGTTATTAAGGCAACTCTGTCTATCAGTTTTACAGTTTTTGACCCTTTAAATGATTTTTCGACCCCTAAAAATTTTTTAAGGCCTCTCGTTTCCAAGATAAGATAAATTCCAACCCCACCAATTACGAAGACCGCTTTTGTATTAGGCACATGATAATAGGAACGGATATATTTGAATTTAAAATATTTCGTTTCGTCTATTTTAAAATATTTTTAATATATTAAATATTTAGTTGAAGAATGGAAAAAAAATAAAATTGACTTTTTCATAAATTTTTTAAATTCTTTAGTTCTGAAGGTTCCATAAAGTTCTAGACGGCCCCAGGAAGTTCTAGAAGATTCTAGAAAGTTCTAGAAGGACCAGAAAGTTATAGTGCTACTATAGGCGATTTTATAAATTTTGTGTTGGAGTGACATTTAAAAAAAAAAAAAATGAACTAAATTAAAGACTTCTTTAACAAAAGTTCATCGAAGTCAAAAAGTCATAACCCCAATATATATATATATAAAGACATATCTCATTAAATACTTTAGACAAGTTTTGTCTACTTATATTTTTAATAGGATCCTCTCATAATTACGGACAAGTTTCTTAGTGTCCTTATTAAGGAAAGAAAAAAACAACTACATTTTTTTTTGCGAAGGATCATTCGCGATTTGTCTAGGGAGATGAACAAATCCCACACAAAATGTCTATACTCTTTAATAATAAATATTTGAAGCATAATTTGCTGCCTAATTACACTGTGTGCCTGTGTGTCCGTGTGTGTACGTATGTAGTTCACCCAATACGAGGCCCAAGAACAACTCAAGGTAGACGGTTACTGCATGAGAGAAAGGGCAATTTGGAAGTGAAGATTATGATAACGATTGTTCCAAGAGTTGAGGTGTGTGTGTGATTGAGTATGTATTCATTAGAGTGATTCACATGAAATTTGCATAATCATACTTATAAAATCAGGGTTGTATGTGTGTCTGTTCGTTTATATATTGGATCGGATTTCCTACATTTTTCAACCGATTTCAACAAAACTTCACAGGACTACCTAAAATTACCTTGCGGTGCTTCTGACAGCGCCAAAAATTGGAAAAACACAATAGTTTTTGCACAAAATCAATTTGAAAACACGATTAAGAGCATCGCGAGAATGAAAGAGGGGACAACTCATATCGAGTTATACTTATTATAAAACCCAGGTTGTTTGTGTGTGTGTGTGTGTGTGTGTTCGTTTATATATGGGATCGGATTTCCTACATTTTTCAACCGATTTCAACAAAACTTCACTTTTTTTTGGCAGGTAGTGTTTCTTATTGTCTTTCACACTTTTTTCTTTATTTATACATTCAGAATGCTTTAAAAATTCCATTTACAAGACAATTGTTTATAATAAAATTCTATTCAATCGGTAGACTCATAACGATTGAAAACAATGTTTTTGTTTGAGTTTGGGTTTGACTAATTCGTAAAAAAAAAAAAAAAAAAAAAAACTAATTAAGACATGCGTGTCCGTCAACCATAAAAAATAATCTTTCTCAATTTTATTTTTCAGTCTTTATGATGGTCGATACTTGATCTATCTCTTACTGTTACATCCCCGGGCAACGCCGGGCTCTACTGCTAGTTATGAATCAGAAAATAAAAGACTAAACCTGAAAACAATGTCATATAATTACCGTAAATATAATTCATTTGATTCTTCAGCCATATCTGGTGGATGAGTAATGTAAATAAATACCTTATAATTGTGATAATGCAAATAGAGACCTTATGAATTTTATAATGTAAGCAGAGACTCTATAAATATTATAATATAAATAAAGACCTTAAATAATGTTATAACGTAAACAGAAACTTTATAAATGTTATAACGTAGAGACCTTATAAATCTCATAATGTAGATAAACACCTTGTAAATGTTACAACGTAAATAGAAACATTATAAATGTTATAATGTCAATAGAGGCTTTAAATAATGTTATAACGTAGAGACCTTATGTTATAATGTAAATAAAGACCTTATAAATGTTATAATATAAATAAAGAACTTAAATAATGTTATAGAGTAAATAGAGACCTTATAATTAAAAACTTTCTAAATGTGATAATATAAATGAAGACTTTATGCTATAATGTAATTTGGGACCATATTAATTTTATAATGTAAATAAAAACCTTATGAATCTCATAATGTAAGTAGGCACCTTATAATTTTTACAATGCAAATAAAAAACATTATAAATGTTATAGCAATATAACGATATATAGTTTTGTATTAGTGTTTATATCAGCAAACAGTACTTAGAAAAATTGTATGGCAAATTGGAAAAAAGTTTTTGTGACGCATGTCGTCCACTCCAATGAAATCCTAATTTTTCTACTTTGTTATATTTCCAATTTGTATTAGTAGTTTTTCCGAATCTTATAATGTAAATAAAGACCTTATAAATTTTATAATGTAAATAAAGACCTTATAAATTTTTAAATGTAAATAAAGACTTTATAAATTTTTATAAAAAAAATTTTTTTACGATTAGAGACTAGAATATTCTCGTAAGATAAAAAAAAATATATCTAATAGTAAAAAAATGACCTTGTGCCAAATCTAGCCACCGTGGTGAGGTGGATAAGTGCGGAATATATATTGTATTTGGCGGGTTAAAAATAATAATAATAATAATAACGAAATCTCAAAAATGGCCTATGAGAACATTAATAATTCTAGTTGTAGTTGGAGCCCTCGGATTTATTGCAAAAGATTCCAATAGTCTCATTGAAGGAATCCCTAGGAGCTCATGTCTTTAAAAAATACAAAACATTGTACTCATAAGTACATCACACACCTTACGAAGAGCTTTATCTATACTATTTACATTTTTCGGGCTATTTTCCTCATCTTTGTTGCCATATTCATCACAAAGATTTCCGACGTACGCTCTGGTGGTTGGAATGTCGAACTGAACCCTTTATTTCGCTCACTGGGGTAGACTGTTCTAGTTCCACGTGCCATGTCTAATGGATGTCAGTTATCAGTTATCTTCTGTTAATTCCCCTTTCCAAGTTCTCCACTGCCTTAACCAGGTTTTGAACTCACAAATCTTTGGGTTTGGTCACTGGATCTAACCAACGACTTTATCCACTGTGCCATGTGTCGTTAAGGACATAGATAAGCTTTATCTATGTAAAATATGTGTTATTTTTTTTTTTCAAAATTGTTCAGTGGAAAATCTCATGATGCCATTTCTGATTTTAGGTCTCTGGTTGGGACCCGGAAAGAAATTAGTATACACCAAAAACCAAAGGAAATAAAAAAATAATAATAATAAAAAGCTATTCCTTATTTTTTTTTTTTTTTCATGCATTATTGATTTTATTTTTATTCATTTTGCAGCAATCGCAGGAAGAAATTGAAAACACCATTGAAAATATGATCCCGCCAAACATGCGTAAGCTGCGTTGGTTCTACACTAGCGCCGAGGCCCTACAGCAGTTGAAGAAAAGGAGCTATCGGAGAATGGATTCGACTTCGGGAACGGCAAAGTGCGCCTCTCCGTTCGTTCCCCGCCAGTCAACGCGGCGAATGACAATGGACGCCAAGTATCGTGAAGAAATGAAAGCCTTTTTGCAAATGAGTACAGAATGCAACCAAAACTGTTGCCCGTTTTGTCCGGCAAGCCCCAAATCGCATAAGTGTGACGGTTTGGCCTGCACCAACAACAACAACAATAACAACAACGCCCTGGAGGACAGCGTTAATGAAAAAAGAGACCCAAGTCCGGAACAGAAGCGGGAGCAAGAAGAGGTTGAAGATCTCGAAAATGAAACTGACGACGTGGTTTTCGTAAACGAAAACAATTCGGATAAACACAACGAAGAGATAAGTGCTAGCTACGAACAGCAAAACGGAACTCATCTAAAGCGGCACAAATATGACGATGAGCATGCATTCGACAACATGGCTGACGAAGAGGACAACGAGAACGAATCCGACAAGACACATGTACATGAGAACGGACAGGAGGATTTTGAATCACAGAGGCAGGCGCAGCTTGGTGCTCAGCAACAGAAACGATATAAAAATAAAAAAACTCAACCTTTCTACGAGGAATTGGTAAACAAACAGAAAAACCTGCCCAACAGTGAAAACAAAACAGAGGGAAAATACTGTTACTAATTGATCGAACAAAGATTTAATAAAGATTTTAATTAATGTTTTTTATTTATATTAGTTTTGTTTTTGTTTATTAAATTATTTTCAGGTCCTTCGCCAGGAAGACGGGGAGGTGGGGATGGGGCTAGATGGACATGACTTCACTGCCATTAGAAAATTATGTGCCCTTCACTGTGAAAATGATTTGAAACAAATTTAGTATACAAATTCCGACTCGTGGACCCACAACTACACCACGGAAAACACTTTGATGACTAATTTTTTATGTTATATATATATATATATATATATATATATATATATATGTGTGTGTGTGTGTGTGTGTGTGCGTGTGTGTGAATTGAGATAACATATAGATCAAATATGGATTGGAATCGGAGAGAATGATAGGATAAGGAACAGATAGGTAACGTTTATGAATCTAAAATGTTTCGCTTTTATTAAAGATTCCTCAGAGAATGAAATACAGCAGAGAAAAAGAAAGAAGAATCTATTTTAATTTTTGTGTTGTTTGTTTTTCACTGGTTAAGCAGACTTCAGATACACCTGACTTGTCAAGCAGCGTTCGTGTGTTTACTCATGTGTGTATGTGTATCATAATTATAGTTTGTTTATGCAAGTCGCGGATGATAATGTATATTTGTCTGTGTGTGTGCGTGTGTGTATTCGCGATCGTGTCTGTGAGGTATTTTTAAAGAAAATTCTTGTATTTTTAATTTTGTGTTGCTTGTTTTACATATCTGCTTAACCAATGAAAATCAAATAAAAAGTTTAAAAGCAGATTTTTTGGTCTTTTTATTATTTTTTTTCTTTATTCGATTTTCTAATGAAGCCGAAATAGAAACAAAACATTAAATCTATAACCATTTCCTATTTGTTCCTTATCCTATTACACATACACACACGCCTCAGTCACACACACACACACACACACACACACACACACACACACACACACACACACACATATATATAAATATAAAAGTGAACATAGAAGTCAACACTTAGAGCCTCTAAGTGTTGACTTCTATGTTCACTTTTATATTTACACACGCTCTATCTCTGATATTGAGCACTTTATCCCATAAATATAGCACACCTTAAGACTATATTTTTATATATATATATATATATATATATATATATATGCATGTTTCATTAAAACGACTGATAAGGTACTGCTGTTAAGCTTAATATTGTAAATAAATGCACTACCCCAATTGACCCGGATAAAAAAAATGAAATTATCTACTATAAAAAATTTAAGATAGCTAACGTCATCCTCAAAAATAACAACACACCAGCTAAGTGAAAATTACAACGAACGCACATTATCTATGAGATCAAATGCCCCTTAAGGAACTGTGTTCCTCATCAAACCGGACTCATAAATAATTACATCGGTTACACAGCTACATGCTTATCCAGACATCCCACGTTACACCTATCTGATCACAGCTCCATTAGAACCCATTTAAACACACACACAAATTTACCAGACTCCATTAGAAACATACTAGTAGAAAACACAAATATCCACCTGTAAAAAAGATTAAAAATAATGGAAGCCCTAATAATGAAAAAGAAAAAGCCAACTCTTAACAATAGTAACTACGAACAAGGCCACAATGTGCTAACCGTGTTCAGAAAATAAAAACATCTCTATAACACACTAAAATATACACATAAGGCACACACTCAATTAAGCTGAAAAATAAAATCAACCTTCATAATGGCTAAAAGTATAGCCGAAAGCGCTGGGAATTATAAAACATTTGGACAGTTTCTACACACTCTGTTTCCAAAAAGGAAAACACTTGTTCGAACACGAGAAAAATTAAATAAAAAGCTTAACCGTAGTACCTTGTCTGTCATTTTTTATGAAACATGCATAAACGAAGGATTGCTGCCTAAATACACATAAATACAATATATATATATATATATATATATATATATATATATATATATATATTGAGATATGTTTCATTGAATAATTTAGACACGTTTTGTCTATTTTTGGTTGGATCCTTTCATATTCACGGATAAGCCTTTTGGTGTCATTATTGAAAGACGAGAGAAAATCTTTTATTCCGAGTACTTTCGACATAGCACAATGTCATCATCAGGGTATTGCTTATTGCAAGACAAATACTGTAGTGTTCATTACTGCCAAAAATAAAATTGTTGTCTTCGTCTGAAAGTTAAATTTCTTACTTGTAGAGTGAAAAACGTTGACTTCGTGCGTGATCGCTGACACCCCTTAAGGGGAGGTAACTAAGTATGGTCGTGGATTTTTTTTTGATTTTTTTTTTTTACAAATAAGTAGTAAAAAATCTATTAGTGCAAACCTTGGCATTTCAAACTATCTATTTTAGACATTTAAAAACATTTTTGGAGTACTCAAAATTAATTTTTTTTTAAAGTTTGGTTTCAAGTTTTTAATATAGACAGCTTCGAGAATTTTTAGTTTATTTTTATTCTTTTCGTGAAGAAGTACAAATGTATTTCCGACAAGAATTTTTCTGAATGTGGACAAGTATGCTGTTGTAAATGTTTAGAAATGTTGAATATATCTAAATTATTAATTATTCAACTAAATATGTCACAATCAAATCATGTAACCAAAATATACGCATATATATATATATATATATATAAAAGTGAACTTTGAAGTCAACACTTAGAGGTGACAGTCTGTTTCATGTTAGACGCAATCGTCAGGCCATATATATATATATATATATATATATATATATAATGCATCAGTGAATCTACTGATGTAGATGGCTTCCATAATTTTCAGTCTTTTTTATTACTGGAATCTTCGATTATTTTGAAATGAATAACAGTTTCCCTAATTATCACACATGACTGATGCGCATTATTATAACACATGGCGGGAAAAATCTTCCTGCATCTTGTATTTATTTGATCGAATTTAAAATATAGGTTAAGAATCCATTATCCGAAATTCCTAAATCCGGAAAACTCCACAATCCGAAAATTTTTCAGGTGCTGACATAACTTACCACAAATGGAAAGAAAGCAACATGGCTACCCGTAGCATGATTATTGAGTTTTATTTAAAAGGCTGACTTTTTTTTTCAGTTTTTATTACATTTAACTGCAATCAGAATCCATGTTTGCTAGTTCTTTTATACAAATTCTGTATCTGTATATATTGTAACATTTTAATTAAAACATGACATCGTTGGTAGAAATTGATAACTTACCGAATTTTCCTTCTCACACTCACAGTGATGTCATCGATGATATACCATCTACCACCGGTTTCTCACACCTGATGTAAAACTAGTGTTTGATGTTGCATTTATATATTTTTGTAAGTAGTGATCAGGGTTTTGTGTACCTGTACAGAAAGTACAAAACATTTTTACGTGAAATCTTAATTTCACCACTTGAAAAATCCATGTGAGCATTACATGACTAGTGTCATTATTTGTATCTGTATGTACACCAAATTTATTAAATTTTATATAAAACTACTTTCAGGATATATATCATTTATATAAAACTACCTTCAGGATATATATCATTTATATAAAACTACTTTCAGGATATATATCATTTATATAAAACTACCTTCAGGATATATATCATTTATATAAAACTACCTTCAGGATATATATCATTTATATAAACTTACCTTCAGGATATATATCATTTATATAAAACTACTTTCAGGATATATATCATTTATATAAAACTACCTTCAGGGTATATATCATTTATATAAAACTACTTTCAGGATATATATCATTTATATAAAACTACCTTCAGAGTATATATTATCTATACAAAACTACTTTCAGGGTATATGTTATTTATATAAAACTACCTTCGGGGTATATGTTTAAGTTGTGTTACGAAATGTAAAGGGATATCGTGTTTATAACTAGGTTTCATTCCCAAGCTGCCCTATTTTATAGATGCTATATACAAATTAAACAGCCTGTATTCCAAAATAAAATAAAAAATTGAAAACCAAAGCACTTCAGGTGCCAAGAATTTAGAATAAAGAATTCTCAAACTGTACTGAAATATATATATATATATATATATATATATATATATATATATATATATATATATATATATATATATATATATATTGCAACACGCCAACACATGTTGAAATTCTCACAATATTTAGTATTGTTGAAGTTATCACTAACATCTTCCTTGTCGAGATTTTAAACTCTACGTTTCGTTCAATAAAACTTAAAATTAAAACTGAATGACGCGTCTAATAGTTCTAAACATTTACAACAGCATGCCTGTCTACATTCACAGTTTAGGAAATTTCTCGTCGAAAATACATCTATACTTTTTCATAAAAATAATAAGCTATCTATATTAAAAAATTGAAACCAACCCTTAATAAAAAAATTAATTATAAATACTACACAAATGCTTTAAAATCTTTAGGGTAGATAGTGTAAAATATGTAGGTTGGTATATAAATAATTTTAATAAGTTTTATATAACACTTAGTTACCTCCCCTACGCTTTACACCAAGCTAAATCGTACAGCCTCTTGGTGTTTTTCACTTTACTTGTAAAGAATTTTAACTTTCAGATGAACACATCAATTTTGTCGAAGAAAAATGATAAACAATACAATATTTGTCTGAGAAAAAAGCAACACCCTGATGATGACAGTGTGCTAATGTCAAAAGTACTCAAAACAAATAAATATGTATTTTCACGGTAATTTTCTCTCTTTCTTTAATAACGATACCAAGAAGCTTCTTGGGATAAATTACAGAAGTAGGGTACCCAGGCCTACTCGGATAACGTTCTTCCTTGCCGCGGGGTTCCCACAGACAGGAACGACCAGAAGCCGCCGGTTACCGATGCAGACGCTCCTTGGATTTTCACCAGAGCCCTTATTAACCGGCGTGTGTGTCAGACCTGTCCGCCTTGGGTGACCCTACCAGGAACGAAGTTCCGGGCGGCATAGCTCTGACACTACCGTT